TGGAAGTCCCACATATGCCGGGAAACTAATCAAAGTCTTGTCTGGGTTCATAACATCATTGAAGATCGAATAATTTCATCGAGCTGTGTTCACCGTATCTAGCAAGCCACATGTCTGCTGGTTTACTACAGGTGTATGAACCCAAAATGTAAAAAATGTAAAAAAATGTTTGTATGTAATCTAGTCACTCGAAATATTTGCGTTGCGTTTGGTGTGAACGCAGCATAATAGTGACGAGTAGCTGCCTTTTTCTCTTTTTTGTCTAAGGAAGCCAGCCACCTTCCAGGTTGACAGATCCCTGATGTCATTGATTCATAAATCTGTTTATTGAGTCAGTCTTCATTTGATGGTACACGTCTCTCACCCCCAGACAGAACTCCTTAACAGGGGAGACGACAGTCAGCAGCAAAGGTATTGGCGTGTATCTGAACTATGTCTTACATACATGACGGTACTGTACGAAATTTGGGTTTAGAAGTGTGTTTTAAGAAATTATAATAGAAGTGTTTAATGATTCATAATTAAGAAACCATAATTAGAAGTGTTTTGGAATACATAATTAGAAGATTCATAATTGTAAAAGTGTTTTAGAATTTGTAGTTAGAAGTGATTTGTAGTTAGAAGTGTATCTTAGTAGAATTTGTAGCACCTTTATATTTGCTTGTGAAACTTGTGAAGGTTTTTGCCAAAAGTTGCAAATCCTTATCTTTATATAGAATGTTTATCATAGAAGTGTTAAGCCATAAAAGACAGTCATTGAATGTATTAAACTGTGAAGAATAGCCAAGGGAAAGTCAGACTTCTAGACAGACATTTGCAGGTTGTACCCGCGCGAGGGTTTTCGGAAGCCTGACGCCAGGAGGAGGCAACCGAAATTAGCCAATAGGAATTAAGATGGACAAAAGGGAGGGGATTTCAAACTGTAAGAGGAAGTGCTGGAAAGGAATTCACTCTTTCTTCTCGGCTCTGAGCCTGGAAACATCTGTGTTTCGAGGCTGAGTCGCGAGTGAATAGCTTTTCCGCGCGGATCATATATTATATATTCTGGTAGTAGTGTACTTCATTCTGTAATTGTATTAGCTTCAGTAGGATTAAATACTTTTTAATTGTAAACCAGTTTATGGTAGATTTATTAAGTAGCGACTACTGTAGAACAACAGTGGAGCGTGCTCTCCGGCCTTCTCTCTGTGGGGAAGATTTCAGCCTCCACAAGCTCCGACCAGATACAGACTTTTACAAATGTCAGTTTGTGAAGAAACACCATCGCAGACCGAGTTCAGGAACTAGCAGCAATCTAACAACACAGCTAGCTAAGAGACGAGATACATCATCTATCAATGTTTGTAAGAGGCTCAAGGCAGACCTGACTGTCAGTGAGGAGCTCTTGGATGTAGCTGCCATGCACGGGACGACGGCAGGGCGGGACATTAGTGAGGCAGAGAGGTGACAAAAATAGCTTTGAACAAAGTTAATGTAATAACTTGTGTTTGATATTTGTATTTATTTTCTTTAAAAGTTTGATCTTTGATAGAGTAATGTGGGTTTCTTAACCCTAAATTAAAATGATTTATGCTATAATGACAAATGTGCTTAAATATCATTTTACATTTATATAACTACATGTACAATATTTTTACACTTGAATAAACAATCAAAAGCAGAGACAGTTATTTAACAATATGTTAGGAGTAGTTACAGTTATACAGTCTTACAGTTACAACCGGCCCTTTGAGGGAAACCATGATGCTGATGTGGCCCGGAGTGAAAATGAGTTTGACACCCCTGCTTTACATCCATGACACTTTAACTTGGAATTCATGCAATGGATTTGATGTGAACTATTTCTCTTGTCTCAGGATTCAGGACTTGTCATGTCTCATCATGCCTCCTAAGTTATGTTTTTCTTACCTTATCATTTGTCAGTGTTTATAGTTTTATTTTGTGTTACTTGCCTCTCCTCTCATTTCAGATAACTTCACTTCCTGCCTTTGTGTTCCGCCACTGTGCATGTCTGCCCCACCCCTGATTGACTCCACCTGTTTCTCCTCCTCCCCAGTGTATTTAAACCCTGGGTTACCATGTCACTGTGCCAGTCTGTCAGAGTCCTCTGTGTCAAGGGTTCCAGCGATTCCCCTAGTGTTTATGTTCCTAGTTTTTCTGATCTCTGCCTGTTTTTTGTTAACTATGTTTTTGCCCATAGTTGAATCCCCTTGGACAATATTGTCCAAGGGGATTCACTATTATATTGGTAGAATGCTGTATTGGTATTTTGAAAAATACATTTAAAAAAAGAGTTCTTAATTATCGATACAAAAATGTGCTATTATAATTAGTGCTGGGCAACGATTAAAATATTTAATCGCATGGATTTTTTGCGATTAATCGCATTGTTATGGCAAAGTTCAATAATGAATTCAAAAGTAGTGTATTGCACACTTTTATTTTAAAAGTACTGCTATATGAACAAAAGGGCAATAACATTTGGTTCACAAGATGCAGGTAGTATGTGATAGTGGTAGTATTTATGAATGCGTTAACTTGCCCAGCACTAATTATAATAGTTGGAGTTATGGAGATCCTCAGTCAAATATCATGCACTGATATTTACCTGAGAAGATTTAAGGTAAACTCATTCAAATGACCCATTGACTTTGAGAGGAGGGAACCAGACAATATCAACAAGACAGGGCCACAACATCACAGAATATTGCAGGACCCTAAACTCAACCCTATTTATTAAACCCTAACTACATATTGGCCTGGGGCAATTGCCCACTCTGTCTGGTTGGTAATATCCAGGGCCCTGGAACCCTGGATATTCCAGATGGAACCCTGGATATACCCCTGGATATTCCAGATGAGTTGGCTTATGTGTGCCAACTCATCTATGCTAATTTAATTGTAATTTAGAAATACACACCAATAAATTACAACTGAAATGAAGGGCCTTTAAGTGGGTTCTACTCATAGACTGTGTATATGAAGTGATCGTAATCACCGCAACGTCACCAATTTGTATGTGGACTATGGTTTTGAAGCCTCAAGTTTGGCATTTTAGCCACTACTCTTATTTTTTGTCTTGAAAGACCTTCCTTGGTCTCAAACCAAGGGTCCGGTGATGATGGGTATTGGGAGAGAGAAGCAATGAGGAGCAGGGGAACACTGGAGATAGACAAAAAGCCTGTAGAATAATGCAGCAGACAGAAGACCCTGCACCAGGCCCAGTCAAACACACATGAGCAAACAAAGTTGACTCACTGTCTCATAAACTGAGTTGTCGAACATAGATTCTCCAGTGATGTTTTCATATGGTAAGTTGGACTGCAGTAACTTCTTCTGAACCCTGAGTACAGATAAAGAATACATTCATGACAGAAGGAAAAATATACATTTTATAATCCTATGTAGGATTATCAATCCTGGAATAATGGTAGCAACATTCATGAAGTGAATACGCCTCTTTAATATGGAAGTACAAATCATGGACTATACGTTTTCAAGTATTTTTGCTGTCTCTGCGTCATACAGTATGTTCTGTTTGGGTGACACGCCGCTCTATGTTTCGTCATTGGATACTGAAATCCTTGATCCTAATCCTATGACAGCTATTTTTAAAATACAGTTGACTAAATATAGTTGTATTTTCTTCTCTTTGAGTTAATTTTGTTCAGCTAGAAGCTGTACAATCACTCTTTGTCCAAGAGGTCAGAAACTAATGTTACCAAAAGATCACATTCACCATTCAGGACATTCTATTTACTGAATACCTTTTTCCTTGGAGGGGATGTGGTGTTACATTGCTAAAACTGTGTTGACATACTTCTGCACCTGGTTTAATGAGTCAGTCATTGTCTCAAATCCAGTGCTAATAAGGAGAGGTGTAGGCCATAGGTAATAGCTGTGTTGTGAAGGTGGATGATACAATGAAGGATCAGCGACAATTTAGGGGGGCAAATGACCTCACAACAACAAGTTAATGTAGCCGCGTTGTTTAGTTGTTTTGGCTAACATGTTAGCAAACAGTGGTCTATTTACTGTGGTGCACTCATGTAGCATCATTAGCATTAATCTGTTGTTGTGCTTTTTCACACTGTAATACTCACTCTCCTTTAGCTCTGGTTTGGTCGCCACCAACTCGTGAGAAAAATATCTGGCTCTTTATCAGCTAAATGTTCCACTATGTTCACCAGCCGATCGCTAACTTAGATAGCATACAGGGATACAATGAGAGTGCAGTACTAGCAATTATGTCATACCTCTTAGCAATATTCACATTTATATGTATCTCATATTTATTCGATTGTTGGTATTATTGGCCTATGTCCTCTTGTATGTTGTGTCTGTGTTCTTGCCCTCTACTGTAAACAAAATATCCCCTCCAGGGACAATAAATATGAACTGAACTGAACATAAAAACAGTTTTCTTTCTATTTTTGTCTGTTATGTTAACTTTTTTCTAATTATTGGACAGTTGTTTGTGTTTTCACTGTCCAATTTTAGTTTCTTATCTCACAAGCCCAATCCTTTTCTATCCATGAATGTATTATGTCTTTAAATGTTTTGTTACTTGTGCATTTAAAGAATAAGCAACTAACTAATTCACTTTGGAAACAGTGCACCTAATTGATGTGTAATACAAAGGGAACTATACAATTGACAACTGATACAATCATGCTTTGTTGTGTTACATCAGTGAGTAGCTGAGGCCACATTTATAAACATGTCAACATTTTTTCCCTTCTTCACTGATCATTTCAACCTACTTTGAGAAGTAGAGGTAGATTCCAATGATGAGGATGAGGAGGAGGATGATGGGGATGAAGACAGCAAATGCTACTTGGGCCACCTCCATTCTTAGGTCTGCAGTAGACACTATTGGAGAAAGAAAGGGACATTTTACTCACTGACAGGTAAAATGGTTTCCATTCATTTTGTTTGGAACAAACTCTTCTGCTGTATTTGTATGTCATGTTTGTATGTCGGAACGCTCAGCAGAAGTTAATTCATTAGCAAATTAAATCAAGGTTGTTTGTTATACTTGGTGAAAACTTGAAATATTGTTAGCACAAATATCTGTTAGGATGGTCTATGCTCATGAAAACTTAAGTAAAATTAACTTCTTGGCATAACTTACCATCGAATCTGTGCTCATCATACTCCGCCGGATGTGCTGAGAGGTATTCAGCAGCAATGTAAAACAAGGGGGAAAAAAAGGGCTTAATAAATTACAAAATCATAAAAAAATAAATAGTGATCAGCTCAACTCATTCTGGCTGACCTTTTTCTTCACAAAAGAAATTTCAACAAACGTCTTCTCCTTGGGTTGTTGACATAATGAACCAAAATATGCAACTCTAATTAAGAGTTAAAGGTTTCTTCAGTAAACTTAGTGAATATGGTGTTGTATTTGTACCTCATTCCTATGCGCACAATGGGACATTTTGAGCACATGGAAAGAATTTTAGTAAACATACAAAATATATTGTGTAATAAAATTATTGTCATGCAAATACTTATTTAATTTAAACAAACAAAAAAGTGATTTCTTTTTATAAACTCATGATTCATGCATGTGCTACTCTACTATAAATGTAGATTGATTAGTACTTTGTGCAGTTAACCCTAGAACACTATAGTGACAATAGTAACACCATCACTAACATCGGGTATATTTTACCTGATATAATATACCCGATAAAAAAATACTTCTCATCAAAATATATTAAAATTAAAGTACAACTACACATGGCCAATTGAAGAACTCTTCTTTTATTTTCCTCTATAAGTCTCATAAAACGAAAAAAAGGTATCATGGGGGGACCCTATAAAAATGCTCTGAAATTAGTGAAAAATTAGGGCATCGTTAACGAAAACTTCATAAAAAAAAAAAAAATGGAGCTGGGGACTTGTTCTTCGGTCCACCCATTTTTTGGACATGTGAGCCTTGTCCGGTGAAGGCACAGTCTTAATATAATATATAATATAATATAATATAATATCCATATAATATGTACCTGAAAAATTATTTACTTTCTATCACTAACGTCGGAGGAAAATCACCCGAACACCTGCCTGTTGAAAAAAACAGGGATGGGAGCAGGGAAACGCACCTACCTTCGATGACGTCAGTAAGCAGCCTGAAGCTACCCAAAGACCCACGCAACTCAGACAGCAGCAACACAATGCAAATCACGTGAAAACAGTCGCATGGGTGAAAATCACCCGACAATAGTGGTCTAGGGTATCCCACAAAATAGATTTGTATGTAATCCACATAATCATGAACCAGACTGCAAAAGCCCACATAAGGCCAGGGGTCAGGGTGGTGGATGTGTCAAACAAAAAACGGTCTTTAAAGGAAACGCATGAAAAAATAGTTAAGATTTAGTTATACAGCTAATGTTAGCTGACTATCAACCACCTTATAGTGTGGTTTAGATTTAACACACAAAATCAAATTTTTGATTTTGATGTATAAATTTACAGGAATAGTTAAAACATTAATTTTATTAAAGTGCAAAACAGAAAACATAATGGCAATTCAGAGCAATTAAAAAAGCACTGAAGGCATCATAGATAAACTCTACATAAGGCAGTCCTGGGAAAAGGAAATGAACACAGTAATATCAGAGGAAACGGGGCTTCATGAATGGGAAAGTCATTCATCCATCCATTTTCCTCGCGGTGGCAGTAGGCCAAGCAGGCTGACCCAGACTTCCCTCTCCCCCGCAACATTTTCCAGCTCATACTGGGGGATCCCGAGGCATTCCCAGGCCAGCTGGGAGATATAATCCCTCCAGCTTGTTCTGGGTCTTCCCCGGGGTCTCCTCCCAGTTAGATGTGCCTGGAAAACCTCCAGTGGGAGGCGTCCAGGAGGCATCCTAATTAGATGCCCGAACCACCTCAGCTGACTCCTTTCGACGTGAAGGAGTAGCGGCTCAACTCCAAGTTCCCTCCTGATGACCGAGCTCCTTACCCTATCTCTAAGGCTGAGCCCGGCCACCCTACGGAGGAAACTCATTTCGGCCGCTTGTAGCCGCGACCTTATCCTTTCGGTCACGACCCAGAGTTCGTGACCATAGGTGAGGGTCGGAACGTAGACCGACCAGTAAATTGAGAGCTTCACCAAGACGGTCCGGTGCAGCGCCTGCTTTACTACTGCAGTCACACCGATCCGCCTGTCGATCTCCCACTCCGTCTTACCCTCACTCGTGAACAAGACCCAGATACTTGAACTCCTTCGCTTGCGGTAGGCACTCCGTCCCCACCTGGAGGGAGCAATCCACCGGTTTCCGGCAGAGCACCATGGCCTCAGATTTGGAGGCGTTAACTCTCATCCCCGCCGCTTCACACTCGGCTGCAAACCGCACCAGTGAATGCTGGAGGTCATGTTCCGAGGAGGCTAACAGGACCACATCATCTGCAAACAGCAGAGAGGTGATCCCGAGACCCCCAAACCTGACGTTCTCAACCCCCGGCTGTGCCTAGATATCCTGTCCGTGAAAGTCACGAACAGGACTGGTGACAAAGGGCAGCCCTGGCGGAGGCCAACACCCACCCGGAACATGTCTGACTTATTGCCGAGAATGCGGACACAGCTCCTACTGCAGTCGTACAGAGACCGGATCGCCCGTTGTAACAAGTCCGGCACCCCATACTCCCGCAGCACCCCCCACAAGAACCCCCGAGGGACCCGGTCGAAAGCCTTCTCCAAGTCCACAAAGCACATGTAGACTGGTTGGGCAAACTCCCAGAACCCCTCCAGTAGTCTTGTGAACTATTTATTCACCATTTTTTATCTGGCAGAATGTAGCAAGCCACCTATCAAGATAGCTAAGTTGCAAGCTAATATATAACAGATGCAAATTCATAAAACTAGGTATGGAATCAAAATTGTAAAAAATAATTACATGTGGGGGGTGTGCCTTACCTCTCCCGGTGCATACTTTCCATAGTAACTAATGAATTGGAGGCAAAACAGTCAAACATAAACTATCTACTCTAATATTAAAATCTGCTGAAATTTTGGCACACTGTAACTTGTTAAGACAACAAAATTCAGAAAATAATAAAAACACTCTTCCTCTTGGGCCTCTGACTGTGACTGATGTGTTCATCCTGCTTTTTTGAAACATGCTCTGTCTACTTGGTTTAGCTTAGTTTCTTGATTTTTTAAACTGTCTTTTGACTGTTCCAATGCCTACACCAGAATGTAATGTATGATGGAATTTTTGAGTCAGTGTGTGAACAAGTGCACAAGATAATGGCTAGTTCCTGCCAAAGGTTATGACTAATGCCATATATGAAGCTATATAATACACACACACATATATATATATATACTATAAGTCAGTGGTGGGCCGTCAGGGCCAGCAAAGCCTTCTCTGCTGGCCTAAACATAATCACAAAGTTATAGCTATTTTATAATTTAATACTTTTTCATAAATACACTACATGTATTATAATAATTTTTCCCATTAGCTTATTTTCTCATTGCACAGCTACTGTCTTCCTCAGTTGCTCTGCTTCCAGTGCAGCTTGTTTTAAGTAGAGCTTTTATCCAATCAGATTTCACCTCTGTGTCTCTAGGTAAGAAGAGAGGCCCAAGGCCTGCTGGATAGCCTTTGCAGATTAAAGTAAATGGGGACGATATTGTTGATTGTCATAGTGTTCAATAAATCAGATTTTTAGTTTGAAATGTTGGGCGTATTCTTTGACATGTCAGAGCTGTCTAGGTAGCCTACAACTACGTCAGCATTAACATGTCGTGCAGCTCAGCATTAACGTGCGCCGTGATTGATCAGTGGGCTAGCGTGACTGTTGTGATGCTGAAGCAGCTAGCAGGAGTTAATATTGGTAGTACGGGTTCAAGTTGAAAGATATGTAAGTTATGACATTTTTAGCATTTTGCTTGGTGTAGATTCTTTTTTTTTTACCTAGCTTTGTTTTTTAACACTCACTGGCTGAAGGAGGAGAAACGGATTTGGTGGTGAAGTTACTGACAACGAAAAGCTGGACATCGTATCAAAGGGTTGGCTAATCCCACATCTAGCAGCCCTGACCCAGCATGGAAAGGGATTTGTACCAACGGTATTTCTGGCTGACAGCGTTGGAGAAGCGTTGCACATTTTATGGCTGGGAATGCGTTTTATTTGCAACTGAGCGTCTTGGTGTTTGGAGCTGTTTGGAGGCAGTTATGGTTCCTTTGATCGCTCTAACGTTACTTGTTAGAGCGTTACTGTTAACGTTGCTGCCTAAGCAAGGCAGCAACAAGGCACTATAACACGGCAGGACACTTACAAGCTACGGTGCTTTTGAAAACTTTTGGAGAGTGGATCTACAACTCAATGAACACGTTCGCAGGAGGACCTCTGGCCGCACCGATGTTCTGTACAACCGCGTTATTAAACTCTTTATTAACAAAGAAAGGAGGATGGACTTTGTGTTTAAGTGAACAGCAGCTTTGGTAAGTGAAGTGCCTTTGTGTTTTTACATCTGCAGTAGCGTTACTACTGTGTTCATTTGTCTATCGTGTCGTTTTTATGATATGGTTAATATTGTTCCCTCTGATGTGAATAATATTTGAATGGCCCGTGTTCTTCAGTGTGTGGCGGAATCCGTGTTTTAGCACCACAGTTTTGCTGGATTGATTTGTCATGCTTTGTTGTTATATAAATATATGTTACTGGTTCTTGTGAGTTTGTTCTTGTCATTGTGTTAATTACATTGATTTTGACTATATGCATTGTCCGTTATCCATTATCATGCGCGGGGTTAGGGTCGGATATTTGATTCTCTGTTTGGGGTTTTGTTTTCTTTTACAAAGCAATAATTATGGTCTGGAGAAATGGGGATTGTGTGGCGATTGCTTTAGCCCTGTTTGAATCAGTAGGGAACAGCTAAACGCTGCGGGGAGAGTTTGTAGCTTGTGTGCTGCTGGGGTCGTGTATTGTTACACCCCTAGAAACAAATAGCCGTAGCTGTGGCGTCATAATGAGGTTATTAGGAGGAGGTTCAACTATAGTAGGACAGCACTGAAGGCCCAGGTATAAAATGCACGGCCCGCCACTGGTATAAGTATAAGGAAGCGAGGAGAACCCTTGATAAATAAATGAAATTAAATAAATGGGCTGTTGTAAAAAGTTGACACCATGACGTGCACTGCTGTGCATCAACATTCTGAGTGCAATTGGCAGGGCGAGGGGACAGCTGAGGACAAAGACACTACCAACGCATATAAAGGTGAAATGTTCATTCTGAACACATTCAGTCCAGACCAAAGCAGCCAACCAGCCAAGAGCCACAGAACCGCCTCGCAGGTTAATCTGATCATACATTTAACAGCTCACACCGGTAATCTGCTCAAATTCAAAATAATGCTGTAACAGACTAGACATGCGTTTCATTTTCATTTTCTAATTATACTGAAATGAATGAGTGAATCAATACAACCATATTAATGAATGAAGTTTTCACTTCAAAAGTGAAAAACAAAATGTATTTTAGTTTGCATGAGCACTATTGTTGCAAAGAAAGGCCATAAGGATTTGAATTTTAGGTAAATATTTATAAATGCTGAAATGGAGTTGATATGTTATGGAGGGGTTTAAGGGGCCTGAACCATCATTAACCACCTATCTGTATTATTAAGGTTTCAGGTTACCTCCTTTTAAGCCAAAAATGGTTGTATAGGATTTCATAGATTGTCATATTTTCAATGGACTTAAATTAGATCAGGTAGTTTAAGAAGCTTTAGTGAAGACACTTTGACATTATATACAACTGAAGTTGACCTGACAACTGCAGACATTAGACTGCAGTTCCTTACCTTTGCAGACAGGTGGCAGCCCACTCCACTGGGATGGGTGTCCAGGGACACAGTGGAGAAAAGGCTCACCCAGCAGCAGGTGGCCGGTCAGACAGGAGTAGTGGAGAGTCTCTCCAGCCTGGAAGTGGAGCTTGTTGGAGCTGGGGATCCCATAGGTCGGTGTTCCTGGGTGACCGCAGGGCTCGAACATCTCAGCTTGAGTTAAAGGGGAGAAACACTTCAGATTGACCGTGTAGGAAATGTGCATTGGAACCAGAAATGATAATCACTATTGATATTTCTAAACAATAATCAGTGGGGCCAGTGGAGGATGGCCTGACTGTCTACACTGCCATCAATTTAGGTAGGAAAAAATCATGGTCTGCAGAGAATGACTTTCTTTAATAGCATCTCTAGCAAGCTAATAAATGGCACTTCTGTACAAGAACTGTCAAAGTCCAACAGGCAGACTGCCATGGAATCTGCTGAGGACGTTAGCACTCTCCAGAGGATGACTATGCGCTCAAATACGGGTCAAGAAAATGTTGATCTTGTGAAATTATATTCAGTAATCATTTCAAACACTAAGGTTGTATATCTTTGCTTGAAAACACTTATCCAAATTTCCACTCCAAATTTATTGTAGAAAATGTGACTGGAAAAAAATCTAAATATTTCAATGAAACGTGCACAAATTATATTTGTGGGAGGTTACACAAAGACTGAAAAAAGAAGGAATTGCTAAAACTCCCCTCTTAGTTAAACTAGTTATATTGATATCAAGGGCAGAAACTGTACTGATTGTATGTGTGCCGACTTACACACCTTCTCACCTCAAGCTCTGTGATTGTCTCTTAAAAAAAGTTACAAAAAATCAGGGTCATAGCATCTGCCATCTGAAAGGGGTTTCAAGTGCTGTTAGACAATCTGACAAGAACACTGAGACCTTTCAAACTGTCGGTTCTGACCTGAATAAACTAAGAATGACTTGGCTGATTTGCAGGTCAAAATACTTCTAAACATGAAATTGACTAAATAGTATGAATTAGCTTCGGTCTGTAGAAGGTCCTGACTGTACGTTGAAATGATGATGTTGAAACAACTTCATTCTTTGACTGAGATGTCAGTTGTAACCCAAGACACTTAGAAGTCAAAACATTGCAAAAACTGCAACAGTGATTAGCATGGAAGAAAATGACACACTGTCACGTGTACTTGAGTCTCAAAGTAGGTAAGTTGAAGGAAAATTGCATTAGGAATGAAAATATGTGTGAGACACAGTTCCACGGTCACATTATGACACATCCTTCTCTGCAGTTGTTTGATCCTGAATAATTTTTGGCAGTACAATTTTGCACTTTTTTGACATAATTGTCTTTTGTTCATGATCTCCATCTCATGCATAACAATGGACTGGCTTATCTTCTCCAAAGTAATTTCCGTTGTCCGGTTAAATTAATTATTAGTCAGTGCCATCAAACCATATGTCTCAACCTAGAAAGTAGGTGAGGCAGAGTATGAGACATTCATGCAATGAGGTTAATGCCTTCAAGGCTGTTGAAGATGAAGAGGAAGTTATATTTTAATCAGGCTGACGCACTTTTAGCTTGCCAGCTGAATCAGAAACAAAGGAGTAGCAGGAAGTCAAGGAACTAAGGTCAGCTGGTGTATGTTAAATTCACAAAAAGACAGAAAACATATCCACCACAATCATTAATTAAGATAAAGTAATTACAGAAGCCTTACTTGATACATAAGAAATATGTCTAGTAATATTAAAAAACTTTTTGTCTTGCATGAAAACATTGAGCATATTTTTAATAGCTCATATTTTGTGCTAATCATCAATATTTTTAAACTTCAGTTTTATTGCTTCATTCTTTTCAGTTTTAAGGCTAACAGATTCAGGCCATCATGGGACACGAAAATGAATTAAAAACCAGGCTAATTAACTTCTCTTGATGATAGAAGCTCTTTAAGGAGGTAAAACTATGTGATAAAAGGAGGTTAAGTTGTTAAGTATACCAACAATTTACAAACATGGCGATTTTCTTCCACGACTGGAAGGTTCCTCCATCGTTGGGGCTTGAGCTCCAAACATTTTGACCGCAAATATGATTTTGAATGTATGCCTATGGGAAGAATTTAATTTCTTTTATTTATTTCTTTTTATTAAATTTATTATACTTAAAGGGGAAAGTTGTCACTGCATTTGACCCATCCCTGTATATAGGAATGGGTGATCTGCCAATGACAGGCGCCCGGGGAGCTGTTAGGGTTTCAGTGTCTTACTCAGGGACACATGACACGTCCTAGTCAAGGATCGAACCGTTGACCTTGCGGTTACCAGACAACCCTCTTAACCCAGTGAGTCGCCCAATGTGTGATGGTCTTTGTAACATAACAGCCTCTAAACTAATCCAGAAAAAACAATTTAATCAAAAGATGGAAGAGTAAGAAGTTAGCCTATAGCAGGGGTGGGCAATTATTTTTCCCAAGGGGCCACATGAGAAACACTGAGGGACTGTTGTTGAGGGCCAGACCAATAGACTGAACTCATACCTGCTCACTGTTATTCTACCTCTTTATAAAAAGCAGTAAATTGTATGTTTACTTAAGAAAATATATTTAGTTATATACTTAAGTACAAATTCAAGGTACTTTACTTGAGTGTTTCTATTTTATTCAACTTTGTACTTCCACTCCACTACATCTCAGAGAGAAATATTGCACTTTTTACTCCACTACTTTTGTCTGGCAGCTTTAGTTACTTTACACATTACAATTTTTCAAACCTTTCCTACCTACCCAAACTGAACAACAGTGTATAAAGGAGTTAAAGAATGATCCAAAAAATATACATTATGTAATATCAATATATAATAGTAAAACACTGACAGGGATCATGTTTCAGCAAAATTAGTACTTTTATTACTATTGTTTGTAGTCCAATGTCCTCGTTTTCTGTTTTTCAGTTCAGTGCGAGAAATCTAGTCTGTGTTGGTCTTGAACGAGTGCACTGAAGTCAAGTTGAATGTGTGAGGTGAACTGTGAAGGACAGCTGACAGGTGATCGTCAGTGAGAGAGGATCTGGATTTGTTAAACTTCATTACGGAGAATGTTTGTTCACATATGTAGGTCGATCCAAAGAGAACCAACATCTTCTGAGCATGTTGCTTTTGCAGCTTAGCTAGCAAAGCCTCAGATGTCCGTGCCCACTCTGCATCGCCAACACGTTGCAGTGACGCTGCTGCTCGCACACATGCACGAATGTTCTAACGTACGTACATTGAGAAAAAAACCCAGCAACAATAAATAGCAATGCAGCTGTATTCCGTGCATGATGTACACTTATTTACGTTTTATTCCTAATTTCACATTGACATCCCGCAGGCCGGTCGGTGACAGCCAAAGGGCCGGGTATGGCCCGGGGGCCGTATAATGCCCAGGTCTGATCTAACTTTTCAACAATGGTTGAAAACAATTGCTCGTTGATTGATAATATGAAGTACATTTCTCTTCATCATGATTGTCATAATCATCTGACCCCACAGCATTCTTTTATTTTCCTTTAGCAGGGTATTTTTCTCGTAAATAAATACAATTTCCATAATGAAGTTCTCTGTTTCTACCCCATACAAAAACTAATTACTAACAACTAAAACTATTTTTAGAACACATCAGAGTTCATAATTAGTCTAGAAAGTAAACAAAGTCGACATTTCACTTTTTTAATGATTAAGACATGTAGTTTGAATGTAAATAAAGTGCCATAGTGCATAAAAAACAGCTTGATTATAAAAAGTCAATTCCCAGAGGAAGTACAAATTCTGGCCCTATTTCTGGCTGTAAAAACAGCTTTTAACCTTTAGTTTCTCTATCATGTGCACACAACATATTATCTTGTAGCAGTCAGATGTGCAATACTTTCACACCTGCACACAGCTGGCCAATCACTTCATAAAGTGAGCAGCATAGACCAGACAAGCACCGGCTGTCTAAATGAAATAGAATTTGTGTCTCATCATTTGAAATCAGTTTCTGGTCTAACCACGTATGCCCTGAGAAACACTAACTCGTACGTACGCAGGCATCTTGGCAGCTTCTGGTTCCACTTGGGGCCCATGGACCCTCGGTTGAAGCAGGTGAGCAGGCTGTTTCCAGACAGAGAGAAGCCCTTGTTACAGATGTACTGGATGGTTGAAGCCACGGTGAAATGGGGACCTGACAGCACCCGCCTGCTGTTCTCCACCTTTCCAGGGTCAGCGCAAGACAACACTGGATGGACAGATAGGGAAAGAGGGTTGGTTATTGTCAACCAACAGTTTCTGTCTTTCTTTGTCTCCCCTCGACAGAGAGATGTTACTTTAACTAAACATCAGCAAACTGTACACTTTACACTCATGTTTACCAATGCAGCAGGTCTGTAACACTGTTACTAGTGATAAAGGATTACAGAGGTAAAGATGTACAATGTATGAGCAAACAGGTTGAGCATTATTAAGGTGTACAAGACAGAATCAACTGAGAATACGTTATAATAAAACATAAAGGGCTTGTTCACAGCCAGCATCATCATGTGTCTCCACATGCGTCTCTAGTGACCACTTGTGATCAGATTTCACTTCCCCTCTCTATATGCAAATAAGCATGTACATAATTTACATTTGCACCGACCATGCATTGTTGTTTCTAGCGGCGGGAAACAGCAATACACTTCCTGTGCCTAGTCTGCTGGACATTAAAAGAAGAAATATGAATTGCCTAAGATGTTTAACGCACTCGTAATATATCTCTAAGCGATTTTCCACATTCTCATGGCGTCATGGACAAAGTTATTCTGTTGAGTTGCCTCTTAGCAAATGGCTCTGAGTGAATTTAAGTTCCCTCTGGTAAGCAGTGATGCAGTGTCTATGTCTGTTTATTATGAAGGATGAGAACAGAAAGAGTGTAGCTGTAATAATGTATGTTGCTGTTGACGATGTTGGAGAAATAAAGAGTTTGCTGTCTTCATTCAGACTACAGCGCCTCTGTTTATTTATTTTATTACCTTTATAAGTATATGCACAAACTCCTAACCCTCAGCTACAACAGTGTACGCTGTTTGAGAAACAACTGGAGATCAGAAAAAGGAGGAACAAAAGGAGAGAGCCGAAGCTTTGGTGACGGATTTGGGGAGGCATCAGGACTTTAAAGCATTTACACTATAAAAGATATGTGGAAAAATCTGTCCCAGACCACCTGAGCAAGTGGTCCAGGTGATCAGATCACAATGTGCTTACACTTGTATTTATCACTGTCCACTTGTGATCCCATCGCCCAAGACGCCAGGGCCATAATGAAACATTTGCAGTAAGTGAATACATTAAAACAATAAACTATACTATATTTGCAATACTTACATAACAATCATTGGTAAGTAGACATATTTTTGCTTTGACAACAGCTCTAGGCATTATGAGCTAATCCCCGTTTGTGTGCCATAATTATGGGCATCATTATTGTGGAGGGGGTAATTCCAGGTGACTACCTCATGAGGATGAGATGAGTGCAAAGCTGTCATCAAAGTAAAAAGCCTTTCGCTGTTGAATTTAAGGGGTAATTGGGAAGATCTTCACACTTACTTTTTATCTTAAAAGAGCTATTTACATTTACTACAACACATATAAACTTTACATTCCTACTCGTTTTTTT